CCCGGGCGTCGTGGGACTCGACAGAAGACATGTACCCTTACGCTACGGGACAACGCCAGGCTGGTCTGGCCGCCGGGACAGGAGGTCCACTCTCGAAAAAACGAGCCGGTTGGCGGGCAACTCCTGAGGACATTTGCGAATTCGTGTTTTGCAGGCGGGCAACTTTCGACGTTTCGAGAGTGGCGTTATAGTGTGCCTTCTGACAGCTCTCGATCGGGTTTCAACAGGTTTCGACAGTTTCCCGGTCGAGAGTAAGGGGCTCATTAGACACTCCTCGGGCCGTCCTCGGGGCCCGAGGGGTTTTCCTTTGGGTCGCCGTAGAGAATTCCCGCCGTCGTTCCACTCATCCTCGGGCGGTGACGTATAAAAAAAAACAAATAAAAACGCAGGCACGTCGTGGCTCGAAATTCGAAATTCGAATGACGCTGCTGGGGTGAGGGCGGTTCGTCTGGTGGCTGCAGCGGGTGGTGGAGGACGTCGGAAAGGAAGATCTTTTCACCAGGTGTAGGCGTGGTCGGCGTGAGCAGTCCTTTCGGCCAGGCACGTAAGATGTCCGGCGTGAAGATGCCATCGCCGTACTCGTCGGGCCCGTTGTGTGCAGAGAGCAGCGCGGCACGTCGTCTACGCTGCTAAAGTGGCCTTCGTTGCTGTCCATCTCCGGTGCTGCGATTCGCTGGTGAGGCGGAACTTCGGTCGTGTCTTGGGTGTTCAGTGACGATGGAGGGCGGGCGCATTGACGACCATGGGAAGCTGCCGACGACAGAGAGCACGGCAGTGGCAGCTGTCGTTACCGCGGTCCTCTTCCGTTGCCAGGTGGAGCGGACGATGGGGAGACTGAAAGCGCAGATCCGCGCACGGTGGAGGAAGGGGATGCAGTGTATGGCGATGGAAGGGTTGGACACCGCCGCCATTTGCGATGCCGTGCTCCATGTGTGTTGCGCCTTGGGTTGCGGGGCGATGCCCAGAGCGCTTCCCAGGTGGTGGATGAAAAGAAGGACGTGTGGGGCGTGGGAGGATCTGCGGCAATGCTACAACGCCATGGAGGAATACATTCAGAACAAGCTGCGCATGTCGCCAAGCGTCTTCCAAGAGATTTCGGAAGCTTTGTCACCCTTCCTGCAGTGGCGTGTGACCTTCTACAGGGAACCATTGCAGCCTGATCAGATCGTGGCATACGAGTTGTACCGGTGGGCTACGGGGGAGACGTACGAGAGCAACACGTGCAACTTCGGCATGGGCAGAGCGTCGGGTTTGGTGGCGGTGCGGGACATGACTGCAGCGTTGCTGACGGTGTACCGTGAGAAGATATCATGGCCTGTGGGGGTGCGCAAGTCGGTTGTCCTCAGTGCATTCGTCGACAAGGGGTTCCCCAACTGCCATGGGTGCATCGACTGCACTCATATCTACATTGGCAAGCCGGCGAACGCCCCTGGCGAAGACTACTCGATAGGAAACGACGTTCCTCAGTCATGGTGCAGGTGGTCATCGATCTCAACTTGCGTGTGCTGGATGTTTTCGTCGGCTATCCAGGAAGCTGCCACGACGTCAGGATCATCCACCTGTCGAGTCTGTGGGCGCGTGCCGAGGCCAGGGAGCTTTTCACGGGACCTCCTGTCATGCTCCCCTTCGGCGTCCAGACGAACGGCTACCTGCTGGGTAACAATGGTTACCCGCCGTCTGAATGGATTGTTGTTCCCTATGGCTGCACTACCCAACACTTGTCGGAGATGCGCTTCGACAACAAGCAGAAGACCACGAGGGGGGCAGTTTAGAGGGCTTTCGACAGATTGAAGGGGATATGAGGTTGTTCCTGCGGTCGCATAAGACGAACATGGAGACGCTGCCGCAGCAGTTTCTCGCTGTCTGGATTCTCCACAACCAATGTAACACCAGCGGCGTCGGTCCCCGCGGGCACGACCATGGTCTGCGGCCGCAGCCGCAAGGCTGCGGTCATGACCGAGGCGACCGCGGAATGACGCGGCCCACAGCGGCTGAGGGGAGAGGGGGTTGGGGGTCGGGGTTGCGGATTCGGGTTCCAGAACCCCAACCCCAGCCTCTTGAAAAACAAAAAGGTAAAAAAAAATAATTTTCGGGGGAGTCGTTTTTCATGTGTGGAAAAACAAATAAACAAAAAATAGAAAAACAAAAAAAAAATTTGATTGATTGATTGATTGATTAATTGATTGATTGATTGATTGATTGGTTGATTGATTGATTGATTGATTGGTTGATTGATTGATTGATTGATTGATTGATTGATTGGTTGGTTGATTGATTGATTGACTGGTTGATTGGTTGATTGATTGTTTGATTGATTGATTGATTGATTGATTGTTTGATTGATTGATTGATTGATTGATTGATTGATTGACTGATTGATTGGTGGGGCAGGTCCTCCAACCCTCCCCCCGGCATACACACACACACACACACACACACACACACACACACACACACACACACACACACACACACACCCGCGCGCACACACACACACACACACACACACACACACACACACACACACACACACACACACACACACACCCGCGTGCACACAGACACGCGCACACACACCCCCGCGCGCACACACCCGCGTGCACATAGACACGCGCGCACACACACACACGC